GACGGGAAGAAAGATCGATAGGTGATCAGTCTATCGATCGGCAGCTGCAAGTCAGATAACTTCAGAGGCACTCTGCAGCGTGCTCAAAGCTCTTCGACTTGGGCGGAAGTCGCGCGGAATTTTAAACGGCCAGCGAGCCAATTACTAGCCGCCACGTGTGAATAATTTAGCACTGGCCAATAGCGGGGCACAAATTTACATTCGAATAGCGGGAACTCTGCACCGTGCATTTCTGTGCTGCAAAGAAGAAATGCATCCTGCAAAGGAAACTGCAAATTGGCGGGAACTCTCTCCTACACGCGGGTTCTCAATTGCAGCAGAACACTCTGCCGTGCAAAGGAGCTCTCATGTGGCCAGGAAATTCCATAGTGCCGAGGCACAAAAATCACTGGGTCATGACAGAGAGTACCTTGGGAAGCAGGAACAGAGGGTCAGCACAGGAAAGAATGCCAAATCAAGGGTGAAAAGAAGGGAATATGTACTCCATGTCAGGTGTCATCTACCCCTCTTTTATTTGGGGTCCTCATTTTCAAACACATCACAACACAACTGTCTTGTCCCCACCCTCCGCAATCCATGATATCCCACCCTCATAAATCTACACACACAAAGGGAGTGAAGTGAGCAGGATGTCTTTTATGACTTGCTGGAATAGAAAACAGACCAAAACTCAAACGAATAAAAAGTATCTTCACGATTTTACTGAAAATCTAATGACATTAGAGGTCTGTATCATAACGTTTGCAGTTGTAGGTTAAAAAATTCTGGAAGATTTAGTGCCATGTCCTATTATGCCTAATATATGTTTAGGTGTTACTTGGACATTTAAAGTTCTGATCCTATTCCAGCATTAGACATTAAGTGGCAAACTTTAAATCTTATCCCACTCTACATGTGCTGTGCAGGCACAAGAGACACCCTGTATGCCTACCTTAGCCCCTTACGCTCTCTTACAATCCTAATCTGCCCAGGAAAGCACATGAATTCTGGGCAAATCTCACTTAAATTCCTGAAATTTTACTTGCAAGAGGAGGGCCCACCCACATCTTAGCCTAATAGCCCAATGGTTAGACTGCATGACCAGGAAGTGGGAGACCCTGGTTCTGGCCCTCTTCAATTCCAAAAATGTTTTACTACACCATGTTTAGCTTGTACTGATCATACCTAATAAAGAATGCCTTGCATTCGAAAGCTTGTCTAACTCCATCCCAATGAAGCAGTTGGTCCAATAAAAGATATAACCCTAAGACATCCTTGCCTCTTGCATGATTCCTGGACCATCACAGCTACATCATTTTTAAACTACCATGAAAACTAAGTTAATTTTAAAATGGAGTCTGTTGTAAGTTTAAGAACAAAATGGCTAAGTTCAACCAGACTCATCAACTGTTCAACTACTACTCTTCACCAGCAGACTTTTCATTCTACTCAGGTATACTTAACCTTCCTCCCATCTTTTTCTTTTTTTGTACAGTCTTCATTCCACGCTTAAATTTTCCACCTAGGTGCTGATACTCAGTAGTAAGACACACAACTTCAGAGATGTCGTGACTAAATAATATAAATCCAAGAGCAAAGCCACAGCAAGTACTTCAAACAGTTAAATTGCCGTAACAAAAAAACACATGAAGTAGGGAAAACCAGAAATGACATTTAAAAGATTGGGAGGACTAATCAGGTCTGCAAAAACAGACAAATAACTTGGAAAGAAGCAACTGTACAATGGGTTCAGGTCCCTGAATAGTTACTATGCTATTCAGTGAGACTATCTCAGGGAAGGGTCAAACTTCATGACTGTAACAGTGTTAAACCACGCAACTACGGGATGACGGATGAAGAAAAGAACAGTGAACTAAATGTGACGTTTATGCTTCTTATTTAGCTCAGAATCAGAGAGCTTCTTAAATTCCCTAAACAGGCTGTAGAGGATTCCGAGGAAACTTTGGAACGAAAAATGATGATTCATTATTGACCAAGAGAAGAGTATTACCTATCCAGAAAGCCTATTTTCTCTCTTGCGTCCATACCAATGAATCACCGCTGTTTTCAAACAGCTTAATAAACATACAGAAAACAATTCAGTGCATTCCTGAGAATGCCTCAAGCTTATCATTTTGTCCCCAAAACTCCAGCATCAGCACTACTATGAAAGCATCACTACCTATGTCAACTGAAAGTGTGTTTTCTTTAACACCATAAAAAAATATTTTCTTTCATAATAACAGACAGAGATACACATTTGTTTTCATGCTAAAGATCCCAAAGGACTACTGCAAGACAATCTACTTTTGAAATGCAGCATAGACTATCAGTACAGATTCCACAAAACTGAAAATGGAAGGGAAAGCATTGGCTAAGTCAGTGGTGCTCAATACAGTCTGTGGACCAAATCCATTCCATGGGACTCCCCACAGATCCAGAAAATGGTGGCAGAGTGACGGTGTTGCCACCTCCATTGGTGGGAGAGGGATGGTGTTAGCATTACTTGTTGCAACTCCCCCGTTGCCAAATAACCAGACCAATGGGGAACCACACACTGGCCCGCAGACTAACCCCACACATGGAATCTCCTTGGCTAGGCGCCACACTACTCTGGCCGTCAGGCCAGAAGCTTGACTACCACTGGGCTAAAAACACCAAGAAAAATGCCTGCTCTTATTAAATAGATCACGTTTAATAGAAAGTCTCATTCAGGAGAAACCTTACACAGTAAGTTCTCTGGTATTCAGTTTGTCATGTTTTTATGAACAAGAGTTAAATCCTATCTGTCAGGATTTAAATCAGAAGCTTTAACACACATATTTCCACTCCAGTGCTTACACCACTGAGGACTTATTTATATGAGAAAATACAATTGAATACCTACTGGGGAACAAGCTATCCTGCAACACCTATTCCATACTTGCTCCCCCAGGGGACAATTATTTCAGAACAAGAGTGTCCGTATATGGAACTATTATGGAGTACTGTATTTATGTGAACACAAGGTGAGGTTTTTTCCCCCCAACTGGCATAGAGGCAAAAAGCCCCTCATCTTATAATCACATACAAGAAAATACAAAATACACTGTCTATATTAAACTGCTGCCAAAAACAGCATGAGCTCAGAAAATTAAACCAACTATGAAGCTCATTAAACACAGCCAACACTGAGCATAACTATAAAACACATGGCGCATACTTAGCAAACATGATGATGGGAACCTTTGGATTTTTTTACCTTTAAAAAACAAACAAACAGTGGGTATTCCCTCCAGAGGGAAATGGCACTGGGCCTGGAGGTACTGCAGTACTAGGCCAGCTCCGGGAGGACCAGCGCTAGCCCCAACACTCTCCCAGACATTCACTTTCTACTGGGAAAATCACTGCTCTCCCAGGTAAAACCACAAGTATACAGATGTTCAAGCTTTTTCTCCCAGAGTAAAAATGGCTCCCAAAGGAGAAAAAAAACCTGGGAACAACCAGGGTTAAACCACTCCCAGAAGAGTTTATCCTGGAGAGTGTACATCTGTACACATTCTAAAAAACACATACACTATGCTCAGCAACCGTGGCATGTGGTTTCACTGTGTACACTGAAATGCCCTTAAAAAGCTCTATATATTATCCAGTTTGAAAATGAAATGAAACATTAAATTCAAAGGGGATAATTCCTTCAAACAGCTCTAGATGTCAGCTATCTCAAAAGATAATTTAACAGCCTTGGAGAACATCCAAGCAGCCTTTTTTCATCTTGATACAAAGTGTACTTTGACACGGGTCCGCAATGATTTGCATTAAGCTGGATTCAAAATAGTAAAGGTCTAACTAAATAATACAAAAGAAAAACAAGCAAGCAGGACATTTACATCCCAGGGCAAAGCTAAGCTAAATGTGTTCTGTTGTTGCTGACATGCAGTTTACACAGCATGCAGGCTCACTAATTATGTTGGAGACAGTACAGATTATGGGACACAGTGGTAGAGTGCGTAAGGCATCAATTTATAACTTGAATCATAATTAAGACTGATCCCTAGTCAACCCAGCTCTAAAGATGTACCTGTCACACAGGCCAGGGGGTCAAAAAGCAGCTGGACATGATCCTAGTCACATCACTGCCTTGTGTCATGCTGGCTACAAAAACTGGCATCAACACAAGCTTGATAAGTTGATAGGCCCATGACAGACCTCTGACCTTTACTTAGATAAGGGTGGCCAATCTGTGGCATTGGCAGCCTCTGTGCATGACACTCCACAGATCAGGATAGGAACAGGCAGCAGAGCAGCAAATAGAGCAGGAAGCAGAACACAAAGCAGGAGATCAGGCAAGGAGTACAGGACAAGAAGCAGAAAACAGAGCAGTAGATTGGGCAGAGGAAGGGGATTGGAGTGGCACTTGGGGAGAGCAGAAGGTTAATTTGTTAAATGTCCACTAAAAGATTGGCTCCTACTGACTTAGACTATGACATATATTCATACCTAGCTGGGAAATAGTTAATTCATTATAGCAATACAATTATTATTTTGTGTTTGAAAACCGGAAATAAATAGTTATTTTAGAAATATGCAAAATAGCAAAAGGGAAAGAAAACCAAACCAAAGTGTGATTTTGGCATTGATGGTTTTCCTTTAAGAGGTCAGCTTTGAATAATCACGAATATTAAAATCATATTACACATTGGTATTCTTAGAATAGGCTCCTTTCTTTTCTAGAACCTTACAAAGAAAAAACATTAACAATTGAACTTTTTTGTGTACAATTAAACATTTACTTGGTTAGACAAAGACAAGGTCAAGAAGTTTCTAATGTTGTTCAGAATCCATAAAATGAAAATGGATTTTATCTTGGAAGAGTAAACTGTTAATTTCCCTGTACCTCTTATTAAAATTCAAGTATATACACAGCCCTTCTTTGTGAACAAACGTACCTTCTTCTCCCTTATGCAATCTGCCTGGGCTGTTTCCAGACGGGCTTTGAAGTGTTCACAATCCATTCTCAGCTGCTCTAGTTCTTGCTCTCTTTTCTCCATACCTATAAAAAGAATTTAAACAAATTAAATATGGAGGAGTTAAAAGCAGCCATTTACATTAAGGATGAGCATACCTTAGATGCAGTATGAAGAATCTATTTGAAATATTTGGTTGTGTGCCTCCTCCTTGTGGCTAGGGAAGTCTATAACAATTTTCCATGTTATTAAACGATTATTACAACAATGGCACTAAAGTAACACACACTTTTTTATTTAAACTGGGCAAAACAAGGTAAGTCAAAGCAAAGGGTAAAATTTATTTAATCACAACAATGCATACTATGCTTTGGGGACAAAGCATAGTATATTATAGTAGAGCTGAGCTCTGGTTTGCTCGCAACATTTATGTTCATATAGTTTACTTTCTATTTTTTAATTGCTGCAGATCATCTGGCTCCTTTTTACTGAGGTGTAGCAGTATGGTGACATTCCCTGAGCAAAATCAGGATACTACAGATGTGTTAAATCAATGTTTATAGTGTGCTAGATAAATGCTAAGAATATCAGGTGACAGACAGGTATAACAACTGTATGGATATCAAATGATACAGATACAAGCTATTAACAATACAGCTATTACCTCTGCATGATTTTATAGCAATGTAATAGTAGCTAGTATCAAAACTGCTCAAACTTTGACCCTGTTTCAAGGGTCAAAGTTAGGGTGACTTAGCTCACTTGTATCACTACAGGTTCATATAAACATACCAGGTAGGAGTGCACCGATAAAGATTTTCTTGACCAGTACCAATGGCCGATTATTAACTAGCCATACTGGCAGATACCAATACAATAGCCAATTTACAGGGATGCAGCCTGGCAGCTTGGAGAGCAGTGCCCTGCAGGTAAGTCTGTGAGGGAGGGAAGGGGCGGCAGGGGGGCAGGGGGAAAGGGGGCAGGTTGAGGCCCCCACAGTGAGGGAGTGGGGCAGGGGCAGGCACTGCCCAGTTGGAGCCGCACATGCGGCCCCGGGGCCAGGAGCAGGACAAAGCCACAGGTGGCTCGTCCAGGGGGCACAGGGAGAGGTGGCTCCCCACCACAACACGCACCCCTGGGAGAGGAATAGGAACATGTGCCCCCCCTGGATTTGAGCACAGGGCAAGGTCAGGCTGCCCCCTGTAGGTTCGGGGTCTGTACCAGCCTCTTCCCAGCAGAAGAGCTGGACCAGGGCTGCACTCAGAGCAGGTGGGGGAGGGGAAGGGCAGAGGCAGTGCTGGTGGGCTACAGCCACCCCAAAATTCCCCATAGCAACCCCTACCAGTGCTGCAGATTTCATAGTTTTCATAGACATTTGGACTGGAAGGGACCTCAGAGGATCACTGAGTCCAGCCCCTGCCCCATGGGCAGGAAGTCAGCAGGGATCATAGGATCCCAGCAAGGTAACCATCCAAGTGTGTCTTGAAGGCGTTCAAAGTGGGTGCTTGAACCACCTCTGGTGGCAGTCTATTCCAAACCTTGGTGGCTCGAACAGTAAAGAAGTTCTTCCTTATGTCCAGCCTGAATCAGTTGCGGTGGAGTTTGTGACCATTTGATCTTGTCATGCCCTGGGGCACTCTGGTGAACAGACATTCCCCAGATCCTGATGGGCACTCCTGATAAACTTACAGGTGGCCACCAGATCACCCCTGAGCCTGAGCTTTTCTAGGCTGAAGAGTCCCATGGCTCTCAGCCTCTCATCATAATGTCTGTTTTCCTGACCTCTGATCATGCGCGTGGCTCTCCTCTGCACTGTCAAGCTTCTCCACATCCTTTTTGAATTGTGGAGCCAAAAACTGGACGCAGTACTTCAGCTGCGGCCTCACCAAGGCCGAGTACGACGGGAGAATGACGTCCGGGATTTGCTTGAGAAGCATCTATGGATGCAAGCCAGAGTTTTGCCCGCTTTACTAGTTGCAGCATCACATTGAAGGCTCATGTTCATCTTGTGGTCAATCATGACCCCCAAGTCCCTTTCATCTGTAGTGCTAACCAGTGTAGCACTGCCGAGCCTGTAAAGATGCTGCAGGTTTTCCTCACGAGATGGAGAACCTTGCATTTTTCAGTGTTGAACACTATCAGGTTCTCATCCACCCATTTCATGAGCCTGTCAAGATCTGCCTGGATCATCCTCCTGTCCTCAGGTGTGGATGCTTTATCCCAGAGTTTGGTGTCATCGGCAAACTTGGCCAGTCTGCTTCTGACACCAATGTCCACATCATTGATGAAAGTGTTAAATGGTATGGGCCCTAGGACAGAGCCTTGAGGGACCACACTGGTGACCACACAGCAAGATGTTTGGCTTTCATCAACCACCACCCTCTGGGTCCTACAGCGGAGCCAGTTCTCCAGGCAGCAGATCGTGGTGAGGTTGAGGCTGCAATTAGTCAGTTTTACCAAGAGGTGATCATGGGATACCAGATCAAAGGCTTTTAAAAGTCAAGATATACAACATCAATGCCTTCCCCCCTGTCCAGGTTATAGGTCACCTGGTCGTAAAAGGAAATGAGATTGGTCAAGCAAGACCTACCCGCAACAAACCCATGCTGGCTATCCCTCAGGATACTGCCGTCAGCTAGTCTGTTAAGGATGGCCTCTTTGATAATCTTTTCCAAGACCTTCCCTAGGATAGAGGTCAGGCTGATGGGCCTGTAGTTTGCCGGATCTACTTTTCTCCCTTTCTTGAAGATTGGCACAACATTGGCCTTCTTCCAATCTTCGGGCACTTCACCAGAGCAACAGGATTTCTCAAAGATCCGTGCCAGGGGCTGAGCTATGGTGCTTGCCAGCTCCTTGAGTACCCTTGGGTGTAAAGCGTCAGGGCCGGCTGACTTGAAGGTATCCAGCCTGTCAAGGTGTTCCTTCACGAGGTCAGCTTCGATGGAGGGTAAGGAATCTCCCTCATCCAGGCCTCCCTCACCCACAGTGGGCAGAGGCGTCCCATGGGACTAATGAAAAACTGGTGCAAAGTACCTATTTAGCAAATCTGCTTTTTCCTGGGCATCGGTTGTCAGTTGTCCCATCTGGTTTAGCAGGGGTCCAATGTTGCCCTTGCTTTTCCTCCGACTCCCCACATATCTAAAAAAGGACATTTTATTATACTTGATATTTGTAGCTAGCTGGAGTTCCATTGCAGCCTTGGCTTTCCTGGTTTGCTCGCTGCAGGTCTGAACCAGAGCAGAGTATTCCTCCTTGGTGCTGGTTCCAGTCCTATATCCTTTGTAGGTCTTCCTTTTAAGACACAGGAGGTCCGCCAGTTCCCTGGAGAGCCAAGGGGGCTGCTGTGCCCTTTTGCTGCCTTTCCTCCGAGATGGGATGGACTTTGCTTGTGCATCCAGGATTGCTCCCTTGAGGAGCAGCCACTTGTCCTGAACTCCCCTCCCCTTTGGGTTGTGGCCCTTTAGGGCCTCACTGACAAGCCTCCTGAGCTTGTCAAAGTCAGCTTTCCTGAAGTCAAGGACTTCTGTATTACTGACTGACTTGCCAGCTTTATGGCAGATGGTGAAGATGATCAGCTCGTGGTCACTGTCACCCAGCTTGCCTTTGGTTGCTGATTAGGTCCTCCCCGGTTGCCAGCACAAGGTCGAGCAGCACTTTACTTCTCGCTGGCCCATAGACTTCCTGAGTCAGATAGAGGTCATCTACGTATCAGAGAAAGCTTTGTGACCGCTCAGATTTGGCTGAGCGCTCCTCCCACGAGTTTTCTGGGTAGTTGAAGTCTCTCATGACAATCATGCATCGGGAGCACACGGCCTCAGCTAATTCCCTGGCAAACTCCTGGTCAAGGTCTTGCTCCTGGGTAGGGGGTCTGTAGTAGACTCCCACCATAGTACCCCCTGTGCCGTGTTCTCCATGGATTTTAACCCAGAGTGTCTCAAAGTCATCCACCGTGGGTGCCAATGTCGGCTTGCAAGGATGCATAGCTTTCCTTGACATAGAGAACTACACCTCCGCCCTTTTTTGATCCCTCCTCTTACAGGGTATAGCCGTCTATACCTATGGCCCAGTTATGGGTGGAGTCCCACCAAGTCTCCATTATCCCTACGACATCATAGTTATTTGCGTTTAGCTGGAGGACAAGTTCCTCCTGTTTATTCCCCAAGCTCCTGGCATTTGTGTATAGGCACGCAAGTGTCCCCGTGGGGGCCCTTGCCTTGCCTACAGATTGTTCCAGGGCTGCAGCAGGGGTGGGCTCCCTTAAATGCCTTGGCCTACTGGCTTTCATAGATTCATAGAAGTAGGGTCAGAAGGGACCTTGTAGATCATCAAGTCCAACCCCCTGCCCTGGGCAGGAGAGAAAACTGGGCTGATGACCCCAGCCAGGTAGACATCAAGCCTCCTCTTAAAGACCCCCAGGGTAGAAGCCATCATCACTTCTCTTGGAAGTTGGTTTCAGATCCTAGCTGTCCTGACTGTGAAGTAGTGCCTTCGGATGTCTAGTCTAAACCTACTCTCTAACAATTTGTGGCCGCTATTTGTTACCCCGGGGCGTACTAGGGGGAACAGGGTCTCTCCCAAACCCTACTGGTCCACCCTGGTGAGTTTATAGACAGCCACCAAGCCCCCCCTCAGCCTTCTCTTGCGAAGGCTGAACAGGTTAAGGTCCTGTAGCCTCTCCTTGTAGGGCCTGCCCTGCTGCCCCCTGACCATGCAAGTGGCCCTCCTTTGGACCTTCTCAATGCTGTCCACATCCCTCCTGAAGTGCGATGCCCAGAACTGAACACAGCACTTCAGCTGCGGCCTGACCAATGTCGCACAGAGGGGGAGGATCACCTCCTTGGCCCTGCCTGAGATGCATCTGTGGATGCACGACAAGGTACAGTTAGCCTTACTGACCGTGACCTCGCATTGTTGACCCATGTTCATCTTGGAATCAATAATGACTCCAAGATCTCTTTCCGCCACTGTGCTCTCAAGAAGGGAGTTTCCCAGCTTATAAGTGTGCTGCTGGTTCCCACTGTCCAAGTGCAGCACCCTGCACTTGTCAGTATTGAAACCCATCCTATTTTCGTGAGCCCACCCCTAT